TATTAATTAGGCAATAACACAATTAGATGTACCGAGAGAGAGAAAGAGAGACATTAACGTCCACTCGACACAAACAAGTCATTTTGGGACTAACACATGGTTCAATTTCATTTCAATAATTCGCTGGCGCATGGGTGTCTTTAGCAGTGGGAGGAAACTGGAGGACCTGGAGAAAACTCACGAGGTTGGATAGGCGGGGAATCGAAACCACAACCAGACAGTCTAGGTAACGACAATATGTGGGCGTATACAACAAACTATAAAATTATATAAAGTTGTACTGTGTTTTATTCATCAGAAGTTTATCGGTACATTTAGATATGTATATTATGCACAATAATTTTATTTTTCTACAACAAAGTTCATATTAATTCTTATACTAACTCCAATCAAAAGGTCACCTTTATTATCCATGATTACATGTAGCCTCTGATAGTTATTTGCTTTGCCGGCAATATCATTTCGATGGACGCGGACGTTAAAGATACATTATGTTAGATTTAGATAAAGAGGTGACCGTTCTTGCTATAATAGTTCAAAAATAAATCATGCAAAATGAATATCTTGAAAATTTCTGAGCCAAGTTATCAATGTTTGTATTTTTGATAATAATTATGTGTGCATTGATTGTTTATTATGGTAATTATGGTAATGAATCATTAACCTAGTTAAAATCTCGAGTCGAGTATCCGATGGCACCGATGGTTGATTATGGTCTTGTCCTGTCAATAAATGTCTAATTAACATTTAAGGCCTAAATTTAGCTCTTGAATAATGTATCTGTAATAATATTGAATAAACTATTTGGCATCCTTTGTCATTGCAGTTTTGTCTCTGAAAGAAAATCCATTTAATATGAATATGTGATTTTGTAGGTTACAAAACATTCTTCGATTTGACGTGTAGTAAGTTGGGCATGTTCGAAGTAGATCGTGTGCAAATGTAGACAAATGAGCCAAGCCTTCGCCGAGATATCCTGTTTGTGATAATAATTTACGAATCATGCAGATGATTTTAGCAGTATTCAACTCATGTTGGTTTCGTATAATGAATATTTTGAATATGGGATCGTCCCAAATTAATTAGATTGTATGCTTCGCGAGAGTGGCAATGTAACTTTAATCCTAGTAAGCTCTATCGAAACACTATTTGGGGGAAATTTGAAATTTCTTATTTCAAATAATTGAGTATGCTGTGCATTTCATCCATATGAAATTCATATTTCAAATCATTGAGTATGTCGCGCATTTCATCCTTATGAAATTAATGTTTCAAATAATTGATTACGTAGTGCATTCATCCACGAAATAATAAATGCCACGCTCTAAATAATATTGCCTTAGAGAACGTGACTTTATACAAATACCTTCTACCCTTCTCTTGTGTCACTAGATTCACCGCCGTTTGTTTAATATTCAAGCGAAATATCTAGGGGTTTGTCATATAGGTTTACCGGGGCTGGCTGAAAAATTATAAGCCTGAAAAGGATATGCCGATTGGGTTGAAACAAACTTTTACCATCAACAAGTACAATCATTAAATGACATAAGAACTCAAACAGTATTTAATTAATATTGTTGTCCTATCAGGCCATCTTGTAAACCTACCCATTGAAATCACCAGTAAAAAAGCGGGCTGCGGAATTTAAGCGCGGTAGAGAGAGCTTTGGTGATGACCAGCGCCCTGGAAGGCCATCGACAGCAATTATTTAAGAAAACATTACCCGGGTGCATTACATGGTGATAGCTGATCGACTCAACGATTGGCCACTCGGCATATGCCAGTGTGGTGGTCATCTCTCATGAGAGGGGTGCGAGCAGATTATCGCCAATGAATTAGGAATGACAACCATTTCTGGAAGATGGGTGCCATAGCTCCACACTGCGGATCAGAAACGTGTCAGATTCCGGATCCTGACCGACATCCAGGCCTTGCAACATCGTTGGCAAACGTGTCTACACCTCTAAGGGAACTCCGTAGGGAAATTAATGGAAACCATCGACCTTGGACAGGTCTTACACAAATCTGTTTCACAGAGGATTACGAAATTCTTCTAATATCTCTGTAAAAAATGACTACCTTCAACACATGACGTCTCATCACGCGGCGTAAATCATTGACTCAATGGCGCGTGCATTGTTTACATAAGACGTTCTAGTTCGGGCAGAATGGAGTCTTTTACTCATTTTAATACCCATTTACACTAAATAGGAAATAATTCTTACCTACAAATACGTCAAACGTCTTTATTTATTTTTTTAATACATAAAAAAATGTTTTAGAATTTAATTTGTCGGAGGAAAAAAAGTTAATATTTGTGGCTCATTAAGTCGCATCGATGTCATCCTTATCAGTGATTGTAGCGGAATAGCGAAAATTCACTGCTGATCAGTGTGGTCTTACACAGATAGACTTACAACTTTTCAGCCAGCCCTCGTGCCTTGTCAGCTATGAGGTCTGGGGCCTAGCATGTCGGAAAAGCCGTGGTCCCGTGTTTCCCGGGCTGCACGTTAAAATATATTCTTTCAGTTGGAAATTGAAATAAGGCCAGGCCGTAGCGGTTCTGTCAGGAGCAACTTTGCTTCTAGCAACTGCATGGCGTATTTTTATTGGTGTTTATTTCATTTACCCCAATCTGTGTCAATATGCTGAAATTTCAATATATTTCAGAATATTTATACTTACCAATAACATATTAAAAGGTTGTAATGGCGTATTCTATTAAAATAAGTAGCTTTTAAAAAATAGTTCAATTTTCGCACACTTTAATTGGCTGTAATCAGAGTGTGTTCCAAATTCTGCTAGTTTTGGATTTTCTTTTTCTTTTTAACTTAGTTCGAAATATATTATAACCATAAGCTTTAAATTATAGTAGCTTATCTAATTAAAACCGATACACACACACCGAATCAAAACAATACAAAAACAAACGGGAAAAAAACCCAAAAAAACAAATTCAATCCAAAACTAAATATATTATTATGATTTATTTAATCAAATTGGTTAACTTATAAACCAACATATTGTTTGAAACCAGCGGCTGCCAGGCAGGATACGCCCACATTTTCGAGAGATGGATAGAGAACAAGCTAAAAACAAAGTGATTTTTCCTACAATCAAGGGCCACAATTCAGGAAATTACAATTCTATATGCGCAAATATCGAAAGGAACCGAGATCGTTGGGGTATAAACTTACATTTAAAGTTTCAACAAAATCGGATAAAAATTGTGACCTCTATAGGGTCCACAACCTTGATATACCATATTTTTACGCTATTTGAGAACGAGGGGCGGCCATTTTGTCTGTCAGGTTTGGACCGATTTTCACGAAATTCGAACTCAGCCGTCTTTAGGGTGTAACGGTGATATCATAATACGTTTTTTTTTTTTAAATCGGATAAAAATTATTACCTCTATAGGGTCCACAAGCTAAAAACGCAATTTTTCGTACAATCAGGGGCGATAATTCAGGAAGTTACTTTCCGGTATGCACAAATATCGACAGGAACCGAGATCTGTGGGTTATAAACTTACATTTCAAGTTTCAGCACAATCGGATAAAAATTGTGACCTCTATAGGGTCCACAACCTTGATATACCATATTTTTACGCTATTTGAGAACGAACGGCGGCCATTTTATCTGTCAGTTTTGGGCCGATTTTCACAGAATTCGAACTCAGCCTTCCTTAGGGTTTAACGGTGATATAATGATACGGTTTTTTAAATCGGATAAAAAAATTATTACCTCTATAAGGTCCACAAGCTAAGAACGCGATTTTACGTACAACCAGGGGCCATAATTCAGGAAGTTAAAACCAAATCGGATAGAAATTGTGACCTCTACAGTGTTCACAAGCTAAAAACGTGATTTTTCATACGGCCATTATCCATGAAGTTACAGTCCGATACATGCCAATATCGACAGGAACCGAGATCTTAGGGTGATAAACCTATATTTCAAGTTTCATTGAAATCGGATAAAAAAATTGTGACCTGTAGACTGTTCACAAACAATTGTGGACGGACGGACGGACAGGGGCGACGACAATATACGTCCACATGAAAATGTGAGCGTATAAAAATAGATCAAATTATAATGTTATGTTTTATGTGTAAAGGGGATTCACCCTTTTCTCCGAATTTGGATGTCACATCGTGTTGATTCATGGTCTAGAATCGATGAAGGGGGGGGGGGGCGAATTTATATGGTCTGCCAAGGATTTCCGAATATTCACAGTTTCAGGTGGATGTTTATGTAGCTATTATAATGGTAATTCACTTAAGTGAAATTCTCTGTTTGAAGAAACACTAATTTAATATTGATGATCATGCTCATACAAGACTGTGAACACATTTATACTACAGCTTGTTGTTCGCTAAAAACGGATAAAATCGATCAATAAATATTATGTGTAAAATGCATCGAGACCATTCTATGTTATGGATATAGGTTAAGAATCCGGTTACGCCTTGAGATAAATACACGGTGACTCATACTGATAGTGAAACCATAAACAGGAAATAAGTGCTAAGATTATTTTTCTCACCAAATTGTTAGCTTACTACTGGGTAACGTTTCGAATAACCTTTTGTGTATCATTGCTTCATAACGACCAGAGAAGCCTAAATGTCAGCCAGTGGCCCAATAAATGAGAATTTAAGTCCACAAAGTTATGTGCTGTGAATTAAATGCCATTAAAACAGTCCCCAAATTTGTTTCTTCAGATAGTCCTATAAACCTGTCAATATTTTGATCATAGTTTAAAAAATCCTAAACTAGGTTCAGAGTTGTCTTCTACGATAGATTATACTGCAGTTACACAGGAAATGACAGAAGGTGTTAAATATTTTTTTAAAACGAAAATAACATCATGCAATTCTCAAAAATCTCCGAAGCCTTCGGAACTGACATAACAGAGTGATGATTTTGACACTCCCGTGTGTAACAATATAATACTACATTCAATACTATAAACGTTAACAACAAACAAGGCCATGGAAAGTAAGGCGTCATGACATGTGACTGTGTTTATTAAAAGCAATTAAAATATATATTTTTAAAATCAGTGTCTATAGGTTAAATTAAAATATCAAACACTCAAAGAACTGGCGATAATTCAAATTAAATAACAGACAAGTAATACAAAAAAATATTCAGTTCAAATTACAAGTAATACAGAAATACACTCAGTTTAAATTATAAGTAATATAAAAATACATGCTGTTCAAATTACAAGTAATACAGAAATACATGCAGTTCAAATTACAATCTGATTAAATCTATATTTCGTTTCGTTGTTTTATATTCCAAATGGCCTCCACAACCAAAGCCGTTTTTCAGTCAATGTAGTTCCGTTTTTCGGGCACAAACATCAGAGCATGGGGAATATTAAGTTGTTTTTTTGCTTAACATATTGTAATTTATATTGTTATGTTATTGTGTAATTAATTAAAAATAAACAATCATCACAGCTTTGTGAAAAATTGGTTTTAGTTAATGATGGATTCATTTTAAAAAGAAGATTGATCCCATATGCTTATGTCCACAAAGTTAAATGAAAATAAGTAGAACAAAATTTTGAACTACAAAAACGAAACGAAATGGATTCTGTGTTTTAATCAGATTATTCAAATGCAACAACAGGCAAGCAATACACTAAACTAAAGAGCACGGAATCCATAAAATAATTGGATGAAATTTAAATATTAAACCAATATCTTTGTTATCAATAGAGAACTTTATTCTTGATATAGTTGAATAGCATCTGATAAATTCTGAAAATAGAGAAAAATGAAATGATGTAAGACAAGTAGAACAGCAAATTTAAAAGGGTATAAAGATTGATACATGGAACGACAGGATGGTAGCCTAACTATAACTTGTACTGAAGAAATTCTCTTTCCGCAATAATAATTTGCCTATGCGGGAAATTGATTTGCAACGGTCAAGTGTTATGTACGTGTATGTCAACGTGGACACCTGACTTAGCCCTTGCCAGCCCCCCCTCCCCGTTTTTGCATTAATGACAAGGGCGGACCACACCGCACAATACGGAGAACACCAGGTTAGAGAGCCAATGTCTCACTCACTGAGCCACTACGGCTACAATTTTGTTAATAAGCCGACTTTAGTAGGGAGGTTGGATGGCCGAATGGTTAGTACGTGCGCGCTGTATCATAAGGTCTGTCACTGAGTCAACTGACGTGGTTTCGATTACTCGGTTGTACGTGACAAGGCGTAGGGTAGCCTGTCAAAACTCGTGGGTTTTCTTCAGGTCCTCCGGTTTCCTCCCACTGCTAAAGACCCCTGCACGCAAGTGAATTATTGAAATAAAATTAAACCATATGTTAGTCCCGAAATGGCCTAGTTTGTGTCGAGTGGACGTTAAACCCCATTTCTCTCTCTCTCTCTCTTTTTTCTCTCCCTCACTCTCTCGTTATTATTTCCGTCATATACATTGAAATAAATCTACAACTTAGTATTGTACAGTAAGTTCTATTTGTATTCATTTAGAAGTTAAGAAATAAAACAAGATTTATTTTTATTATAGCAAGTTCACATAAACAGTCCTTTGATTAATAAAATTAAAAACAAAGAAAAACAAAAACTTACAATGTTTTCCAAAACAGAATTACAAAACTGGTCCCTGCAATTTAGATCCATCTTCGGATGCTTTAATGACTTTAATTTTCCCATGTAGTGGTGGCAACAATACTTCATCTTCAGAAGAGTAAAAAGAAAAATCCCTTATGAACGCCCCAGTTTCTGGCTTTCTGAATTCGACTTGCATGTTGTTCTCTTTTTTGTGCGGACAATCCTTCCTCAAACTGGTTGAAGTAAACATGTTTAGGTGCATCGACTTATCTTCTTGCTTTCGGTATTTCTCCGCAAGGAAACTAGGCTCCCATCTGTAAAGAACATCACGTAACGTTTTATCCCCTTTTTTCTGAAATTCCCCCAATTTAATCAACGCATTACGTAAAATTCTTTTGGCATTTGGAAAACGTCCTCCTGTTAGATCACTGTCTCGAAAATCTTCATTTAATTCGCTATAAAATTTAGGATCCTCTTCTTTCCCTTCATAGGTATATGCCATGATTAACTTGATCTCACTCTTCTTCAGTGTTGTTTTGTATTGATGGACAAGTTTAGACAGTTGACTCTTTTCCCTACCGGCTGCAGTCCAAGCTTTCTGGAAAGAGGGATTATCGTCTGCTTCTCTATCCAGTTCATCTTCTAAGGTTTTTTCTGATTCTGTTGTTGGTTTGGAGAAAGCTGCTATTCCTAATCTACTATTGTACGGAACCAGATCAACTCCACCCTCAAACCTCATGCGAGGGTTACCTTCAATTGACATAGCCATGATGACAAATTAATAAGTTATGCGCTGATAGTTGAATCCAACGACGACGTTTTAATACAGTCAACCCAAATTGTTGCTGAATTAAGCTCTATGTGTAATTGAAAAAAATTCTTCCTTGTATAAAAATAGTCCGAGAAACTTCCCTGTCTCTAAAAATAGCATAATATCGTGAATAGAAAGTGTTGCTGAGGATGGATTCTGGGAAAAACCAATTTCTCTACCAATGACTGAGTTATACGCTGATAGTAGAAACTACGTAATTCAGATCATTTTGAATTTGTCATCTTACCTGAGTTTATAATTATTATGATTTTTATCTTTTTCAGAAATTCATATCTATATTTGATTTATCTATCCATGTCCTTGAATGATTTCAACCATTCAAACATTTCACTAAATGAGACTGAAAATGATGTAGTATGTGATGGTATTTGGTAGTGTTTAGTTAGTATTTGGTGGTATTGGGTAGTATTGGGTAAATTGTCCTGTCGGTGTGTACATATTTCATAAACCCTACACTCAGGCAATTTTGAAACTAGAGTTGAATAGCGACATTGTGTTAAGAACGAGCGAGGTAGAGTGTGCATATAATAAGTAATGCCCCATTTCTATTTGAAACAGATCGAGTATATTAAGAAACATCATTTTCCCGAGAAATACTAATTCCCTGAGAATACGAGACTGTGATATGGTATAAAGTGTACTAGGCCGGTGGCTGAAGGGGGGGGGGGGATCGCCACCCGAGCTGTGAATGTATGAGACCAAGTTTTTCTAGACCAGTGTTTTGCGTAGATTCCGAATCTGGGTGGTGATCAGGCGTTTGAAGGGGGTGGGGCGTTTTCGAGATATGGGGGGCAAATGTCTACATTTGGGGTAAAATGTGATAATGTTGACATAAATGATGATCGTGTTATATGATTATTGATAAAACATAAATTTATTTCTAGGACTACCCATCTCTAAATAAGTGTTTGTGATGCCCCTGGACAACTGTTTTGATTTGTGGCGAGGTGGGATGGGTGGTTGCCGGTGTGCGTGTGTGGAGGGGGGGGGGGGTAAATTTGGCGGGAAATGAGTTCACGTTGATATAAATGATTATTTTCTTAGAGCTTACTGAAACATCTCTAAATATGTTTATAAGAATCCCATGGTGTGGGGGTGGACGCCGGGGGGGGGGGGGTGGACGCCGGGGGGGTGGGGGGAGAAGCCTAGTCGAAACGTCGCTCATTAATAAGCAGTAATATGGAGACATGATGCAAAACCAATGATCAAACAAGATGGCACTGTGATACTAGGCTGGAATAAAGATTTACAATGTGAATGGGTATCTGAAGCATATCCAAAGGATATATACGAGCTGTTGATTAGCTATCAAGAGGATATCTATCTCGCTCATATTATGAACTTTGATTTTGATTCTTCTGATAAATACTAAGACTAAACTAATATCTAAACATGTTTCTAATTTACAGTGTTTTTATGTACATTTCCAGATACATGTATATTGAATGACGAAATAGGTACTGAACGAAAAAACTAAGGAGAAACCACTTTTAAGAATCTCTTGAAAAGTACCATTACAATTTAATATTATTATTTAGAATGACGAAATTGGTACTGAACGAAAAAGTACCATTATAATTTAATATTTGGAATGACGAAATTGGTACTGAACGAAAAAGTACCATTATAATTTAATATTATTATTTGGAATGACGAAATTGGTACTGAACGAAAAAGTACCATTATAATTTAATATTATTATTTGGAATGACGAAATTCGTACTGAACGAAAAAGTACCATTATAATTTAATATTATTATTTGGAATGACGAAATTCGTACTGAACGAAAAAGCAATCTGATTAAAAATACAGATGTATATTTCGTTTCGTTTTGTGTTTTTATACTTTCGATGGCCTACACTACATTAAGATCTGACCAGTTGTACTGGGATGTTACAAGCGACTTTTGATCCTATGACGTCAGGCATTGATTAATCAATCAGCGTTGACGTTTCTAGGGGTTTACCCACAATTCCAAGCAGAGCAAGCCAAGAACCCGCCGTAACAGAGCGTTTCATTGGCTAATTCCTCACATCAGCTAGACCGCCTGTTATATAACAACTCTTCCAGACCCTTGTGTTGTGAAGACAAGTAAACGAAATTTTGAACCAAAAAAAAAAACGAAACGTAAAAGCATTTGTATTTTAATCCGATTGAACGAAAAAGTTAACGATAAAACACTTTTCGGGATAATTTTGAACAAAATGGTTTCTGTTACCACAATTACATCCCCCACCCACCCCGCCACATACAATGGCAATCTTACACACATATTTAGAGATGTGCAACGGAATTAAAAAGTAATGTTTTACAAAGCTCTAAGAAAATCATCATTTAAATCAACATAAACTGATTTCCCGCCAATTTTACCCCACCCCCTTCCATTCATACACAACTGCTACCCCCACCCCACCGCCCCACAAATCAAAATAGTTGTCCATGGGCATCATAAACACTTCTTTAGAGATGAACAGTCATAGAAATTTATGTTTTATTAATATATAACACGATCTTCATTTATATTACAATAATGACACCCCCCCCCCCTTTTGTAGACATTAGACCCACCACATCTCGAAAACGCCCCCTCAAACGCCTGATCACCACCCAGATCCGGAATCTACGCAAAAAACTGGTTAAGAAATACTTGGTCTCATAAATTCACAGCTCGGGTGGCGATTCAGCCACCGGACTCAGCTGACTGTCAAGGTCAGCTAAATATAGTAGGTTAAACCGACAATAAACGAAAATGAAACTAATGTAAAATTATTCTGACAATTTGAAAGGAATATATATGTTATTATGTTTGCTAAGTGGGTGCATCTTGTATTTTGGAATTAATATGAAATGAAATATAGATTTTAGTGTCTTACTCTTCTGCACCAAACTCGACAATGAAGACAAGCATATGCCAAGTATGAGGAGAATTTTGCCTTAATAGCGACCCTATGACCTCTAATTTCGACATCACCTGTCCTTCCTGCACCACTGACAAGAAGAAACCCGACTGAAAAATCCCAAGAAAAATAAACCTCGGTCAACACCGGGGTCCGGAATCCAACCCTAGATTGCCTGATTAGTAGTGAGTCAGTATCCCGCTCAATGAGACACCGCCCAGATTCCCCACAAGATTTCCAGATATAAATCTAGTACTGTTCACCTGTTTGTAAGAATTTTGTATGGCAATTGTTGTTCTGATAGGACGAAAACCCGAGGTCCTGTGTATAGGTAAACCAACCCTTGGCAGGTGGAATTCAATATCAGAGTAGGACAACCAACCTCCCTTCGGCTAAAGAGATTAGATAATGGGAGCTATAGTGGTTAGGGTCGAAACGATTTACATTCGTTCAAAGGCCTTGTCACAGTCGCACTTGTCACAGATTGAAATATCTTTAAAATCTATATAACCATTTCGACCAGTATAAAACACATGCAAGGTATGCTTATTGTAAAGTGGTACCAAATGTTCCGAAAGAAATATTATGATATTTAGTTTCAATGGCATTTAGTAATTGGACTGGAATATACAGGTCACAACTCTATGACTATAATTTCTACTTATTACTGGTCGACGTGTCGACTAGACTTTTCTAGCCTGTAATAAGCAATGATAAAATATAACAGGACAATATATATATACTAGCAGGATACCCGGCTTCGCTCGGGGGTCATAACTCCGACACCGGAAGTGGTAGACTAACGCCACCTAGCCTATGTTACTCCCCGGTCCGAGCTACCCCTATACCCCAAATTTCAGACTCGGGGCAGACCTAGTGTAGCCGCCAACCCCGAACAGACAGACAGACAGACAGACAGACAAACGACAGTCAAAAAAATATATATAGATAGATAGATATAATGTTAGATTGTTGCAAACAGATCTGTAATGATAGTAGATCCAGACATACTATTTATATTGATAATATGTTATGATGACCAGTGACTATGAAACCCTTGAAATACACATTTAAAGGTTTTTTGGGGGGTAAATAAATATTTTAGTCATGGTAAATTTTGATTTTAGAATGTAGCCTCCGGTCAAAAAAATCTTTATTAAAATTTCAAATACGGCTTTGTAATTTGGCTTGCTGTGCAAAGATCAACATAATTTTGGATAGAACAAGTCATGATACCAAGATATATATAAGAAGACACAGTGTAGATTGTGATGTCGTCAAACCGCCACTGTTCATTTGATTTCACAATGCAATCTCTCATGAATAAAATGATATAAATAACGTCCTACTGTTCTGCTCCAACTTGTGTTAATGAAGACGGGTATACGCCATACAGTGTGTTGTGAGGGAAATTTTGCCCTGACAGCGGCACTACGGCCTACTCTAATATCGAATTCCAACTGTCAATGATTCTTGTACGTGCACGCAAATGTATATACAGGACATGGGTTTTCCGTCCCATCCGAACTACTAGACAGCTGTCCTTGTCCGACCTGCATCACTGACATGGGGAAACCACGCCATAGCACACTGTATGGCGTATGCCAGTCTTCATTAGCCCAGTCGAACTGACCAGTAGGACGTTAAATCCCATTTCATTTCATTTCATTTATGTTCCGAAGATAGAAAAATCTAATATCTTGTGAGTGTGTTTATATGTTGTATTTTTTTGTCACAATTACCATGGCACACGACTAACAAACCATTTTAATCAACTAAAGAAATATTATCCAACGTAACGTAGGAAAGTAGCCCGGATCATGAGTGCATGACGTCACGCCATCTTCTTAGATTGCTGTAAGATTTGTACGAAATAAAAAAATTGTCTTAAACTACATTTAAGATAAATGAGTTTTTTTTAAATGATTTTTCGTCATTTAATAAAAGGCTTTTTAAAGATTAATTCTCTCCAAATTTTAATCCATTTTCTGTCAGGCAAAGATGGAAGTCGTTATTTCTGAAATCCTATTAAGTGTTGATAACGAAAGTGGTGCCATCGTGTTGAGAGTAACAAAAATAAAAATGGAACTGATATTGCTGGATTCATTGGCTACTTCTGCGTCCATTTTATAACACGTGTGCAATGCCCATGTGGTAATTTGTTTAGCGGTTCCATTGGTACGGGAAGTAACGGGGTAACGTAGCAACGGTGAAACCCGCCATCACTGCATCGCAGTTCTCGTGTTATTTATTGTTATTTCCGCGACCACGTTGGAAATGATTACACGTTTCTACAACTCGTTCTGCTGTTCTGAATCGTCCCGCATATACTGCTAATTGAAACTTGGATATGGAACTCTGCCTACTAGATTGTTTAGAACTAGGCGTGGGCTGAACTTTTGCTGGAGTGGGTACATAACGGGCGTGGGGTCTGTAGGATGACGACAGCTGGGGTAACCAGGCATCAAACAACTGATTAATAATGTCTTTAGACGTTCTGTCATCTGACCATTTAATATTCGTCAGTACCGAAGTTATTTTAGTATCTGATGATGTCTCTACCGATTTTTCTCTCGCCATTTTAACTCGACCCGTCACATTTGTTTTCTCCTCTAATGTCACGTGTTTTTCTGCATCCGGCGTTACGATTTTAGGCAGAGTAATTGTTTTTCCTTTTTTGATAGACGATTGTTTTTGAATTTTTCTTCTCATGATTGCGTACTTCACAAAATATTGGTAGTGGTTTTATATTTTATAAGTCAAACAGGGCTGTCTGTTCTCCAGTAGACATTTCCGTTTACTCGATGTTGGAATTTCTAAAAAAAAAGGCAAACACAGTTTATAAATGATTAAAATTAATATTAATACAATTAGTATTAATCTTGAATGGGGCGAATAAACTATTTGACATCTTTTGTCATTGCAGCCTTGCGTCTAGAATAAAATCCCTTTAATATGATTACGTTCTTTGATTTGACGTGATTTGACATACATTAGGATGCAAGAGGTAAATCTGCCTATTGCTGGTCTTTCTTTAGGCCTGAAACGGTTTCTAAATTATTAATTAGACATTAATTAACTTATCCAGGCCATAATCAACTCTCGATGACATCGGATTTTTACGATATTAAATACGTTAGAACAGTTCAGCCATATATATTTTTTTTAAGCTAAAAATCGAGGAGCGAGACTTAGCTTCGAACAACCAGTACGGTGGTTGAAATTATTGCACACGTCTTGTCAAACCTTCAAAGGCTAATATCTTCGCTTGCAATAGAGTAATTTGAATGAAATTTTCAAATTATTCATTTTTCGAAATAGTATAACAAGAATGGCTAGCTCTTTATCTAAATCTTACATAATGTATCTTTAAGTCAGGCATGTTCGAAGTAGATTGTATGCAAAATGTGGACAAATGGGCCCAAACCATCGCCGAGATTTCCTATTTTTAGTAGACAATTTACTAATCCTAAAGATGATTTTAGCGGTATTCAACGATTGTTTAGTTTCGTATAATGGTTATAAGTCTATCGCCAGTCAGTTAAAAATGCAAGATGGGTTCTATAGATATTGACTGTGGATGAGAAATGTGCCAGATTCCTGACATCCCCTGATAATCGGTTCCGTTTTGAAGCAGATCCTGATAATTTATTGGCAGATTTGTAACCATGGATGAGATCTGGATTCATCACTGTTAACCAGAATCCAAAATTAAGTCATTTTCCTATTAATGACGGGTCATGTCAGCTGTGAAAGACTTTTTAAGGTGTCTGAAGAAACTTTCTTCCTGGCCGGTATTCAGGCCTTACAACATCGTTGGCAAAAGTGTGTACCCCTCTACGGGGACTCTGTGGGAAAATATATGGAAATCAAGCTTTAAATTCTAGTAGCTTATCTAGTCCCCAAACCAAACAAATAAAAAAAAACCCCAAAAAACAAACAAATTCAATCCAAAACTAAATATATCCTTGTTAATTGGAATAAAATAATATGAGAAGGCCTGGCCATAATTACCAAACAATGTATGCATGACCGGAAAAAAAAACTATAGATATATTTTGTTAACTGAAAAAAAAAAATTTTAATGTTGATGATCATAGACTGTGAACACATTTGTGCTACAGCTTGTTGTTTGTTAAAAACGGGTAAAACCGATCCATAAATATTAACTGTGGAAGGTATGCAGACCATTTAAACGTCTATGTTATATTGATCTAGGTTAAGAATCTAACTACGCCCTGAAATATATATACATTGACTCATACTGATAGTGATAGTGAAACCATAAACAGGAAATAAATGTTGCTTATTTAAAAAGATATAATTAGGTTACCCGTTGGACCACTCAGCTTATTTTTGTCTCACCAATTAGCAAGCGAATTATTAAAACAAAATTTAACTATACGTTAGTCGTGAAATGACCTTGTTTGTGTCGAGTGGAGGTTACCTCTCTCTCTCTCTCATAACAATTAGAGAAACCCAGAGTTGTTTTTCTATAACCCTGTCGATATTTTGATCATAGCTTAAAAATTCCAAAATTCCAAAATAGGTTACAGAGTTGCCTTCTACGATAGATTATCAGTTGAGACAGGAAATGACAGAAGGTGTTAATTATTTTTTTCAAACGAAAATAACATCATGCAATTCTCAAAATCCCCGAAGCCCTCGGAACTGACCAGAGTCATGGTTTTGCTCGTGAGTAACAAAATAAAACGACATTCAATGATATTTTTATTAAAAGCAATTAAAATATATATTTTTTTTAAAATTACTGTTTATAGTTTAAATTAAAATAACAGGCAAACAATCAAAGAACTGCCGATATTTCAAACTAAATAACAGACAAGTAATACAAAAATACATCCAGGTCAAATTATAAGTAATACAGAAATACATGCAGTTCAAATTACAATCTGATTAAAATACTTATCTATATTTCGTTTCGTTGTTTTATATTCCCAATGGCCCCCACAACCATAGCCAATTTTTCTGGCAATGTATTTCCGTTTTGCGGGCACAGACATCAGAGAATGGGGAACATGAAGTTGTTTTTTGCTTAACATATTGTAATTTATATTTTTGTGTAATTGTGTAATTAATTAAAAATAAAAAACAACAATTACAGCTTTGTGGAAAATTGGTTGATTCATTCTGAGAATTCGGGTGACAAAGAAGATTGGCCGCCTATGTTCACAACATCGCGTGAATACATGAATAACGAAATTTTGAACTACAAAAACGAAACGAAATGGATTCTGTGTTTTAATCAGATTATTCAAATGCAACAACAGGCAAGCAATACACTAAACTAAACAACACGGAATCCATAAAATAATTGGATGAAATTTAAATATTAAACCAATATCTTTGTTATCAATAGAGAACTTTATTCTTGATATAGTTGAATAGCATCTCCGAATGATAAATTCTGAAAATAGAGAAAGAAGAAATGATGTAAGCAAATTCTTTAATTGTATCCATTTAAAAGGGCTATAAAAATTGTGGATGGTGTGACAGGGTGGTGCTTACTGTAAGTTTTACCTCTTTCAGTAATAATAATTTGTCTGGCAAATAAAATGTCGTTCAACGCCCTATATTTCTGAAAATAACGGTTATAGTACAGTGTTCTATCGGCCCCCCCCCCTTCCCCGGCCTCCCTCCATCCCTCCCCCGAGCCAATCTCACTCATTGAGCCATTTAATAAACCTACTTTAGTAAAGGAAATAAATTTAAGTCACAAAAGTACAATTACATTTACAACTAAGTATTGCACAGTAAGTTCAATTTGTGTTCAGGGGGGTTGGATGGCCGAATGGTTAGCATGTGCGCGCTGTACCATAAGGCCTGTCATTGCGTCAACTGGCGTGGTTTGGAATCCCCGGTTGTACGTGACAAGGAGTAGGGTCGCCAGTCCCACCTCGTGGGTTTTCTCCGGGTCCTCCGGTTTCCTCCCACTGCTAAAGACTCCTACGCGCAAGCGAATTATTGAAATAAAATGAAACCATATGTTAGTCCCGAAATAACCTAGTTTGGACGTTAAACCCCATTTCTCTCTCATCTCTCTCTTTCTCTCTCTCTCTATTTATTTGTGTTCATTAAGAAATAAAACACGATTTGTTTGTATTATAGCAAGATCACGTAAACAGTTATTTGATTAATAAAATAAAAAAAAACAAAAAACAACTTACCATGTTATTCAAAACAGAATTAAAAATATGGTCCCTCAAATTCAGATCCATTTTCGGCTGCCGTCTTGACTTTTATTTTCCCATGTAGTGGCGGTAATAATACTTCATCTTCATCAGGGTAGAAAGAAAAGTCCCTTATGAACGCCCCAGTTTCTGGATTTTTGAATTGGACTAGCATGTTGTTCTGTTGATTGTGCGTACAGCCCTTCCCCAAACTGGTTGAAGTAAACATGTTTAGGTGCAACTCCTGTCCTCCCTGGTCTTTGTATTTCTTCGCAAGGGAACTAGGTTCCCATCTGTAAAGAACATCAGGTAACTTAATACCCTCTCTGTTCTGAAATGTCCCCAATTTAATCAAAGCATTACGCAAAATTCTTTTGGCATTTGGAAAACGTCCTCCCATTAGTTTTTTGTTTCGAAAATCTTCATTTAATTCGCTAAAAAATCCAGTATTCCCACCATAGGTGTATGCCATGATTAACTTGATCTCACTCTTCCTTAGTGTTTTTTCGTATTTTTGGACAAGATCGGACAGCCTGTCACTTTGTTCCGCTTTAGTCCAAGCCTCTCTGAAATACCCATTAACATCTGCTTCTTTATTCAACGCATCTTCTAATTTTATGTCGGTTCCTGTTGTTGGTCTGGAGAAAGCATCTATATCTGATCTTTTATTGTACAGAACCAGATCAACATCACCATCAAACCTCATGCGAGGGCTACCTTCAATAGCCATGATGACAAATTAATTATGTACGTTATGTCCTGTTAGATGAATACAGCCACGACGTTTTAATACCTTCAACCGAAATGCTTGCTGAGGTAAGCTGCATATATGTAATTGAAGCAAACCATCCGTTGAATAAAAATATTCGGAGAAAAATTCCTTTCTCTATAAATAGCATCAAGTCGTGAACGGAAACTGTTGTTGAAGAAAGTTGTATATGTAACTGATGTAATTTCTTCCTAATAGAAATAAATTCTGGGAAAAATCAATTTCTCTATAAATGACTGAGTTATACGCTGTTAGTAGACACCACGTAATTTATATAATATTATCTCGAATTTGTTATCTTATCAGAGTTTATAATTATTATGATTTTTTATCTTTTTAAGAAATTCATCTCTATATTTGATTTATCTATGCATATCCTTGAATGCTTTCAACCGTGCAAAACGTTTACTAAGTGATGTAGTATTTGATAGTGTTTAGTTAGTATTTAGTGGTATTGGGTAAATTTGTACATATTTTCTGAACCCTATAATACATAGGCAATTTTGAAACAAGATCGAACTAGAGATGGATAGAGACATTTGTTATGAACGAGCGAGATAGAGGGTGCGCATATGTAATAATAAGGAATGTCCCATTTCTATATGAAACAGATCGAGTATATAAAGCAAGCTCATTTTGACGAGAAATACTAATTCCCTGAGAATATGAGACTGCGTGCTGCGGTGAAAGTGTACTGTCATTGCAAGGTCAGCTAAATATAGAATGGTAACACTCGGCAAACCTTGGCAGATTCCGGTTCTCTACATCTAGCCTCAGCTGAGATGTAAATAAGGTTAGGGCACGTGATTGTTGCTGAGATTGTAGGTGAGGGTTAGGGTAAGCATTGGGACTAGGGCCAGGGTTATGGTCAGGGCTGGGATATCCCTAGCGCTAGCCCTGTTTACATCTCGTGACCTATGACGAAAAATTGAGCTGGCCTTATCATTTAGCACTAACCGAGGGTAAGTGATAGCCCATGTACCTACACCTATACAATTGTGATGCGGCTATCGGTTTACTTATTAGGAAAAGATTCCGCTTTTAGAAATAAGTTCTCAAAATTGCGTCGTTCGCAGAGTGTAGAATTTTCTAATTTTTTTCTAGAAATCCAGATAAACTTGAAAAAAAAACAGCTTCAGACTTTGAAAGCTTTTTATCGTAAAACATTCTTCATGGCGACTGGGCGACGCCGTTGGTAAATCCGGGAACTTGAAAGTAGTTCCAATGGTGGACTTCGTCCAACACCCGGGGTCAGTTGTAGGGTACTGGAGTCTGCTGAAGTTTGCCGAGTGAGAATGGTAATTGACAATAAACGAAAATGAAACTCGTGTAAACATTTTCTGAGAAATTGGATTTTTTAGGGAAGGAATACATAAATAATGTTATTACGGTTGCAATGCAATGGCTGTTCTAAGCGGGTGTATCTTGCATAAAATGAAATATTGATTTTAGTGTCTTACTTTTCTGAACCAACTGCAATGGGAACATATAAGGACTAGCATATAATTAGAATGAGAATAGAAATTTATTTTAAGTACAATAATTATGAACGGGCACAAATTCAGAGCACTCACGTTTAATCAGACAGTATGAAACCCGCATACAGGGTACATATTATATGGAAATACAAAACAAAACGTACAAAGTATTAAATACAAGTACACACATTATGGACGGGCACAATTTCAGAGAACTCGCATAACTAGACAGTATAAAACTGTGCAAAAAGTTTGCCCCCCCCCCCCTCGTGAAAAAATTGTCGATCAACAAAAATATATATATACATTGTCCGTCAATTTTATAGCACCCCTGAGAACACTTCCCGCCCCTCCCCCCTCTTTGCTCTGAGCTAGTTACGGCACTGGCCATGAGGAGGATATTTCGCTATGACCTTCTCTTATTTCGACTTTACCTGTCCTTCAAGTACAACTGACAAGAGGAAAGCAGGCTGAAAAATCCCAAGGAAAAAAACCTCGGTCAAAACAGGGGTCCGGGATCCAATCCTAGATTGCCTGATTATTAGTAAGTCGGCGTCACTGTAACACTGTTATAGTGATAACAGAATATTAGTTTCGTAAATATATGATTTATTTACATCAGGAACGTAAATATAAAACAGCTACATAAATACAACATGAACATAAATTAAACAGGAACTAAACTACATCAGGAAACAATAACATTAACACAGTACATAAATATACAACCATTCCGCCCTTCTGCACCGGCAGCGGCTGAACCCGGGTGAATCCATACGCCCCTCTCTGCTCCTCTAACCAAGTCTGTCCAAACATCTCTCTCCTCGCCTTCTTATCGTCACTCGCCGTCTCTACTACGGGGTCTTATATCGTATAGCTAACTGTGTAAATTCTATTTAATCAAGAGCCTTATCACAACATGTGAAAATTATTAGGTCCGTAATTAAATGCGTGAGTAGTGGACGTGTACATATGTGTGGTGGACAGTATATCTTATATCGTAGATCAATAACGTATGGGGTTCAGTGGGTTCGCACATGTGAGGTTCAAATTGGTTCTATGTATTTAAATAAATAATTTACATGCAGAATACTATATAATCTTAATATAATACACAAGTGATGGAGGGGATCACGTGGCTAAGTGGGTAAGACGCTGGCTCGCTAGCCTGGAGGTCGGGTGTTCGATCCCTGCATTAGCCGAGAAAGTTCATTCAGATTTTCCGGCGTGGTTCTCCCTTGTCAGTGATGCAGGACGGAGGGGCTGACAAGGAAAGCTGTCTAGTCGTTCGGATGGGACGAAAAACCGAGGTCCCGTGTACACATTGGTGTGCACGTAAAAGATCCCTTGGCAGTTGGAATTCGATATAAGAGTAGGCCGTAGTACCGCTGTCCGGGCAAAATTTCCCTCATAGCACACTGTATGGCGTATGCCCGTCTTCATTAGCCCAGGTTAGGAGCAGAACAGTAGGACGTTAAACTCCATTTCATTTCATTTCATTTCATTTCACAAGTGATGGAGCACTTTGTCACACTACGCTCACTAACCCGACGTCAGATTCTTCACAAGATTTTCCAAAGTGAGAAATGAAAGTTCACCTGTTTGGAACAATTCTCTTTTGTTTTCCCTTTGCCCCTTTTGCATCAAGATCGTCGAAATGATCCAAAAACTTTTATAGGCCAAGAAATGGATTGGATTCACATTATAGTCGTCAGTTAATTATTAATCTGTTTCCATTAGCCTGTCGTTAAATGGAGTTACTTCCCTTGAACAGTAAAACATGTGGATGTTCTAAGCTGTGTTTGTGGCCGTCCATCAATTGAATAAAGTTGCTTGAAACCATTGTGACCCCCTTACAAACTACAATCTCGTGAAAGTTCGATATTTGCAAAACTGGGATTAAGTCAAAATTTAACAACATTCGGCAGGACAATGGACGCGAGCCCGTAGGTCGCGTGTAATCTTGAAAAGCAAATAAAGCGGCACATTTCATGATGAGCTGCACGATTTCCAAAGTCCACTCTCGATGAGCTGCAAAATTTACTAGGGTGACTCTCGATGAGCTACAGGATTTACTAGGGGGACATCGATAAGCTACAAGATTTATAAGGGAGGCTGCGGGATGAGCTGCGAGATTTACAAGGGAGGATGCGGGATGAGCTGCGAGATTTACAAGGGAGGATGCGGGATGAGCTGCGAGATTTACAAGGGAGGATGCGGGATGAGCTGCGAGATTTATAAGGGAGGCTGCGAGATTTACAAGGGAGGGGGCGGGATGAGCTGCGAGATTTATAAGGGAGGCTGCGAGATTTACAAGGGAGGATGCGGGATGAGCTGCGAGATTTATAAGGGAGGCTACAAGATTTACAAGGGAGGCTGCGGGATGAGCTACAAGATTTATAAGGGAGGCTGCGGGATGAGCTGCGAGATTTACAAGGGAGGATGCGGGATGAGCTACAAGATTTACAAGGGAGGGGGCGGGATTTACAAGGGAGGATGCGGGATGAGCTGCGAAATTTACAAGGGAGGCTGCGAGATTTACAAGGGAGGATGCGGGATGAGCTACAAGATTTATAAGGGAGGCTGCGGGATGAGCTGCGAAATTTACAAGGGAGGCTCTCGATAAGCTACAAGATTCTGAGCCGTTAAAACCGAATTTTAAAAATACCGTAGTCTCGATTGTCATTGTTACGATTGTTACGATAATAAACAAAGTCTCGATTATCCACATTTACGTTAATCATGAACAGCCGTTGAATCGCGAATCGGATTGAAATCTGTTTAAAATCATACATATCATATGGCATCGAGAGTTGATTCTGGTCATATTATAAATAAATTAATAGTTTATATAACATTTAAGGACTAAAGAAAGGACTGCAATATGCAGATTTAGCTCTTGCATAATGCATGTTTAATTAAATATTAAAAAAGCAATCTGGGTGCATATTAGCGTGGATTAAGTCGTGAGAAATTTCATTTAGCGGAAAACGGAAATGGCAGATTGTTACCTTAATCCCCGCACCTTACAAAACACCTAATCTTAGAATAATTAGAAAGGGCCTCTCCAAGTCCTCCATGTAAACAAACCAATGCCACACATATTAAACCTTTGTATTGTGTACCAATAATATTTCAGAAATACCTAAGTTTCACGACAAATGAAATGAAACGAAATGGGGTTTAACGTCGTACTTTTCTTCACCAAACGAGCTAATGAAGACAAGTATACACCACACTGTTAAAATTATATGTATATTTACGGTAACAAGTATAGTAAAAATACAGTGTCGGATTTGTCAAATCACATGGTTTGTTAACTTACATTTAAAACGATGTCGATGCATATGAATACAAGGCTTATGTAAAATTACATCAAACATAATGTAGTAATACAACCATATGTCAGTTTACATTATGTGAGCTGTATATTAACAGAAATGCCATTTGAAATAATTATTATTTTTACAGAAAATTGTAAATTTACTGTCAAATAGTGGTCACATCGGTTATTCCCGCTTTGACCACATATCAACTATTTAGAGTTCTGTCAGTCAGTTTAGTCGATCCATTTTAGAGAAATAGACTATTCAAAATCTGAAAGCACCAAACTGGTTAAAAAAGACAGGCATGTGCCATACATTGGGTTGTGTGGGACATTTGAACTGTGTCATGCCACCTACTCTTTCCATTGTAAGTAGTAGAACAGTAGGACATTAAACCACATTTATTACTGTAACCACGGTACTGGTATATTCGAGGCTCAGACTTGCTCATCCATTTTTAAATTAAATCATTAAATGGCCGAACCGTTCTAATCTAGTTATTATCTCGAACATCCGATAGCATCGGGAGTTGATTATGGTCTTGTCATGTTAATATTAATGACTTATTGATAACTTATATAACATTTCAGGCCTAAAGAAAGGGCTGCAATAGACAGGTTGAGTTCCTGAATCATGTATCTTTAAGGCCTCTTCATAACAGTCTTAAAATAGTGTAATAGAACACAAGGCAGTATTTTTTAAACTAGAGTGTGGCACTTTAAACCACATGGCAATTAGTGATAATATTCTAATATAATCGTGTATAATCTATCAATAATTAGCTATGTTACCATAGAGAATAATCAATCACAATAATAGAATATTGCTTTTGGTAAGCGCATGCGCGTTGTATCATAAGGTCTGTCATTGAGTCAACTGGCGTAGTTTCGATTCCCCGGTTGTACAAGGTGTAGGATCAACTGTCCAACCTCGTGGGTTTTCTCCAGGTCCTCCGGTTTCCTCCCACTGCTAAAGCCCCTACGCGCAAGAGAATTATTGAAATAAAATAAAAAGAACCACATGTTGGTGTCAAAATATGTTGCCTGGTTTGTGTCGAATGGAAGTTAAACCAGATTTCCCTCTCTCTCTCTCTTCGGGTCGTGTGGGATTAAAGGATACAAATATAATTGGATACGCACTTGTTTTTCTAGGTAGGAACTTCTTATGGAAAACCGTCCACAGTTGTGTCTTAACTTGCTTACTTTAATCACACTATTAAGGTGATAATCTGCACAGCTGTGAGCGATTATCCTTGCTTTAAAGATCCACTGCGAGGATTAAAAATGATGGTGGATTCTCTCTAAAACTAACTAAATATCTTTTACCTGTGTGGAACTCATTGTGAACAATACATGTCAGATGACGGGGGAATATTGCTTGTAACGTTGTTTGGGCACAGTTTCAGCGATATTATGTCAGTTTTTTATCCCCATATTTGATCAATAGTACAGCGCAATATTATTACATATGCTCATTGTATTTCAAATTGCATTACAATAATATTCATATATTTCTGTACCATGTCATTTATCAATTATACAATATTTAAACATACATTATGCAAGAGCTAAGTCTGCCTATTGTAGGTCTTTCTTTAGGCCTGAAATGTTACATAAACTATTAATTAGACATTAATTAACTTATCCAGACCATAATCAACTCTCGATGTCCAAGCTAGCCTGTGATATTTGTTGGATTATGATCCGATTTGCTGCAGAACTTTCCTTCAAGATTTAATGATTAAATGGATAATCGAGACTATGATTTTTGTGGTACCGATTTTAGCAATGATGATCGAGGGTTCATTCTAGGTTCATAGTGAATCAATTTGACTGAAATTTTCAGCAAATTGCCTTTACATTAAATAGTTTTTTACTATTATAGTGAGAACTGTCAACTCGTTATCTAATCTCCCATAATGTATCTTTAATAAATGGCCATTTTCAATTCAGTTACTGCGTTGTTGTTATGTGCTTTGATCACATTGTGCACGATGAAATGAAATGGAGTTTAACGTCCTACTGTTCTGCTCCGAACAGGCTAATGAAGACGGGCATATGCCAGTGTGCTACGAGGGAAATTTTGCCCGGACAGTGGCATTAGCCCAGTTCGGAGCAGAACAGTAGGACTTTAATCTCCATTTCATTTCATTTCATTTATGTCCCTTGCCGGGATCGATCAAGGGGCATCCAGATTAGCGAGCCATCATCTTAGTCACTGTGTTGGCATAAAAAAACATGTATGAATTAAGGTTGTGATTTTTTGATCAAATCAGTAATCTGAAGTCGAGAATCTATCATTAATTAATTGTACAGGGCAATCTGATTCTTCCTTCTCAAAATAAATCTATTTTCTGTCGACAATGTTTTATTGCACGATGTTTTGGAAAATGGAACATACTGCAATACCTCGTGTTCCTCAAGCAACGACTGCGAGTTTTACAAGATGTACGGAGTTAAAGCGAGATCAAGCCTTCTATTGAAGATGGTAATACCTATGAAATGGAATGGGTTTAAAGTCCTTATTTTCTGTATTAACGGTGCTAATAAAAACATTCAGCTATCCTGAATAAAAATATTGTTTAAAAACAAGAAAAATGAAGACAAGAATGTGTCATCCCGAATGTTATACTATGAGGTTAATTTTGCCCTGACAGCAACGTCTCTGCCTACTCTTCGTATAATTTGAAGTGCCAAGGGATCTTTTACGTGCACGTCGACGAGTACACTGGTGATCCTTGATTTGTTATTGCATCCGAACAACTAGACATTTTCTCTGTCCGTACTGCACACCTGAAAAATATATAGATCAGGCTGGAAATTCCTGAGGAACTTTTGAGGATGTAAAACATGTGAAATACTTACCGTGAATGAACTCTAGCAGTTGTAGGTGACTTCAGTAAGACACGAGGTGATACCGCTAGATCTTAAAACAATCTTCATTTTACGAATCTTCTACAAATTTTGCAAAGAAATGAATCACCGAGAGACAATCCACCAACATAACTCACCAGAAGAAGTTAAATTTCTAGAGCAGTCCTCGTTCATTTCAATAAAACCTGCGCACACAAATGAAGAATAAATAAATAACTCCTTTCCTAAACAACATATCGATCGCATTATGAAAATTAAGCCCAATCTGTCTCAATTGATATTGACACAGCT